GTTCATTCCATTCATGGCTGCAGTGGTACCACTGCTTGCCAATGGCCATGCCAAACAATCAACCCTTGTACGGTCGATCTTACAAAGAAATCCAGTGCAGGAGTCCCCGCAGCTGCTAGGTGGTCGCTTCTAGCTCGAGAAATGGTAAACACTATGCCAGTTCGGCGGTCGCTGAAAGGAAAGCCTGCTCACTTGAGTGGGAAAATCGGTGTGTGTTTTGGTGACGTTGACGCTGATTTGTGTTTTTTGCTAAGCACACTCAGAACGCGAAGCAAAACAAAACGAGAAAGGGACAAAGGACTGCCTGCGTTGCGCTTTCAAATGCAAAAATCGGGTTGCTCCCATTCGACCCAGGAAGAATCTGTGAGCTCGAAAGAAGCTGCGCAGCATTGGACGCTCTGCTCCTCCTGCACTTGGCCGTAATTGGTGCACGGCTTACTGATTTGGCCCCAACCCTTGCGTCCCGACTTTGCTTGTCTAACCGCTCCGCTATGCTGGCAGCAGGGTTGGGCCAACCCCATGTTCGAACATGATGAAACACCTTTTGTTTCACAACCTCCTTTGGGTTCCCCTTGCACCAAGGGCTCTCAACCAAACTTGCCGCCAGCCCTTGTTCCACACGCAGCGGCCAAACGACGAAAAACGCGCCGAGCCGAGGCGTCGAGCCGAGCCGAGCCGAGCCGAGCCGAGGCGAGGCGCCATGTGGTTGTCCCGCAGCGTGATCTCGTCGTCCCCGCCGGAGGAGTAGTAGCCCCAGGCCTGGGGCTCCATGACCTGCCGATCGCTGACCAACCCCCAACCCCAACCCCCCTATAGTGTCACTATGACAGCGCCCGCGGCCCGCGGCCGGGGTTGAAGTGGGCGTGGGGCGCCTTGTTTTCTTCGGGGCCTGAGATGTCTCTTGTTGTTGTTTTGTCTGTTGAATTTCTTGCAGGTGGCGGCTTGTCATTCTTGATCTACCCTGAATTCATAAGACCTGAAATCATGTCAATGGGGATTGGGGGTACACATATCCGGCCTAGGTGGGCTAAAGGTGTGCACAGCACACCAATAATTTTACTGGAGCGCAATACGCCATAGCTCTATGGCGCATGAACATTCCCAGGCCACAACTCCTAATACTAAGGTACTTGTTTGAAGAACTGGTATCTTCCCCTCCCCCCGCCCCCCCGAGAATACAAAAACGAAAAGAAGAAACCGTGAGGTTCTATGGACACTCCGTCGTTTCCCAACACAACTCCTTCGGCCCGGACTCTCGGCGCTTTTTCCCCCGGACTGACGCGCCAGGCCTCCCTCGCGACGGACTCGAAGTCGAAGGTGTTGAGCATGTTGCTGAGCGGTGGCTTCTTGAACTCTTCCTCTTCCTCCACCTGCCGAACCGAATCAGCGGGTGCACCCATTTAGCCCGTCTTTGGTTTACTCGTGTTGGTTGGGGGACCGGGCAAGGCGAACGAACGCCTCGTTTGGCGCAGGGAATTTGGGCTTGGAAAGTGGTGGCATCGGTTTCCGCAAAAGGCCAAGAATTCGCTGCAACTGTCAAAGGGAACTCACAGAACTGCACCTGCTTCATGCACTTCACGTTCTCCATGCTCCCCCGCCCATCACCAACCCCACCCACCCCCCAGCCCAACCCAACGCCTGGCCCTCGGCCGCCACGGCCTTCTTCTTCTTTGCCGCCGGCTTGTGCGCCTGGCCAAAGCAGGCGACCGGCACCGGTTTCTTTGTCTCCAAAATACAGGGTGCCCTAGATTTCTCTGTAAATCATTATCCCACCAAGAGGAAACTCATCTAAATGTGGCGCACTGGGCCTCAAGGTCTACCCCTGGTTGGTCAAGGTTGCTCCAAAGAACCCATTAGATGAGTAGAAAGTTGGTCTCATTCAAATGTCTGACGAATTATAGGCTCTGCTTGACCGGTTTCAATTTACAGGGGAATTCATGGACAGGGTTCAGTATGTCTGAATCACCAAGGGGCCAGGATCGTTTGCAAAAACTGCCCAGAGTATGTGTGAAAAAGGGATGTGGACCACCAAATAGTGATTTGTCCTTTCGGCTTCCCTAGGAAAAAAAAAAACAAAGACAAAAAACAAAAAACTGAAAAAGGGCCCCCTCAAAAAGCCACACACAAGAGCCACTCAAAAGAAGGACGAAACGCAAAACTGATTCTAAGAGTCCATACCCTTCCCCCCTTTACCTGCGCGCCTGGGGTGGCTGGGCCACATGTTCGGGCTTGATGGTGCTCGCATCCACCACTCCCATGGTCAGCGCGGGCTTCAGCAGCTTGTCCATGATGTCCTTTTTGGTTTAGCAGAATATGGATGGCGGTTGATCTGGTTCACCTGGTTGCTTCATCATCTACCAGGAAAACCCATCCCAAAAGGACACCTATGGACCTGGCTCAGCTGAGATTCAGCAGGGATGTGCTGATTTCTTAGTTCTTTAAGACCCAAAAGTACCCCCCCCCTCCCCTCGTTCTGGATGGTGGGAAAGGGAAACCAGAAAGGTCATAAGCAGCAAAAGATGAAATAAGCCACTTGCTCTAAGTGTTGGGACCCACGTAACCCCAACTAGAGTTAAGGAATCCCCCAGCGATCTTCCTCATGGGCAAGGCGAGCCTGGTACAATTTGTGCACATGTCATGAGAAGTCCCAAACAAACGGCTTTTTTCGGGTTGGGATTGCTCTAACCTTCAGTCACCCGACTTTGATTGTGGCTGCAGAAGTTGATCTGAGCGGGGAGGAGACACCAGTGTGAGTCCGAGCCCTGAACCTGGTGGGTCACATCATGGAACGCACATGACTTCCATAGAAGACCAAGAAATCATTCACGGGTAGTATCTCACAGATTGAAACCGTCAAGAAGCTCGCTAATCAAAGAATCACTCATGAAGAGTCGAACGAACGACCGCGGCATGAGTTTGGTGCGCATGAAAAGCCTACCACGGAGCCCGAAAAATGTGTCTGCCCAAAGGGACCGCCTTCAGCACCTTTTTTTTGCCAGGGTTAAGCCGATCCTTTCTTCCCAAGAACCGACCGGCCACCGGCGATGAGCTCCTGAGGAAACCGCCACTTTCCACAAGAAACAAGTCAAAACATTCGAAGGATTCGAAAACGGAAGCCAATCGGTTGGGGCTTTGAAAGCAAAACCATGATCGATGTTGAGGCATTGTCCTTTCCAGCTCTTCTTGCCTTGTTGAAACAACCTCCTTTCGGGTTCCATGTTTAAGGGGGCCTGGCTGTTTGGACCACTACTCCCCCCTCCTCCCTCCACCCCCCAATCCCCATCTCTCTCCTTGGGGTGGATGGGGTCAAAAATCTTGGTGGCGTCCATGCCCGCAGCATCGGTGATCAGCTTGGCGCCCCCCGGGTGCACCTTGGCGAACTTGCTGAGGTCGTAGGCCTCGCTGATGCGGCGATGCGGCGCTGTGGCGAGGTGGCGCTCAGCAAAACCATCGAGAGGGGCCACAGTGGCTGAAATCAGCTTCACCCAAATTTGAGGGCAACCAAGTGAAGTTGAAATCCAAACAAAAACCACCAACTACGTAGGGGTAACTGTAGTTTTTTGCTAGATGGAGGGAACCAAAAAGCATTGCTGCCATTTGACTGAATCAAGGCACCAAAGGAAGCCTCAACAGATAACTTCAAAGTATGCCGATCCTCTTGGGCAACTTTGAAACTTGCAGGTGTGCCTTCAGGACCATCCAAGTCATGTTTGGTGAAGACCATTGTCCTAAAGACGAGAGAAGGACAAAACACCCCGCCTTGCCGTAGAGCACCACCCAGCAATCGTCTTTGGTGTTGTGCTTGGCCACCTCCTCCATGCCTGAGCACCGGCTTTCGCCAGGTGTTGACATCTCTGCGGGTTCGCTTGGCTTCCACGCTGAGAACATAAGGACAGGAGGAACCAAAGGCCCCCGCTCCCAACACCCCCCACCCCCTGCGGTTGCTTTTACAGTCATTGAACCCCACACAATCTCACTCCGCTATATTGGATCAAGGGCCCTTCTCTTTTTCACACTCAGTGTAGCAATCCATGCCCTTGTGAAAACCCTGCCGGCGCGCTCTCCGTGATATATTACTTACAGGACTATTCACCAGGGACATCCATTGGTCAATACATCCATTCGGTGTACATCAATAGGATCATACTGAAATAGATCCAGGGCCACACAAAGCGCCGTTTCCATAGTGGACACTTCCTCCTTAGGGATCACAAGCCCCAGGTTTGGGACTTACCCACCCCCACCCCACCCCACCCCCCCACTAGTTCCTGCTTAGAATCAGCTAGCAATAAACAGACATCAATTGCAGGACGAGCTGCTCAGCACCTTGTCGGACATGGCTGCTAAGATCAGTCACAGCTTCTGGTCACACTTTGAGCAAAGCGGCTGAAAGCGACCGAGTTGATGTCGTTTATCGGAGGTCGGCCGTTGGCCGAAGCCGCCAAATGAAACCAACAGGGAAAAGTACCACTCCAAGAAAAAACAACAACAACGAGCGAGGAACCTGGCTCCTCAGAGACAATCCATGCAGACCTTCCCACTTCTTCCAGCCCCTCTGCAAGGCACACACTCCGACATCATGTTTTTGTTTGGATGGGCCTAGGCCTGGCCCCAGTCCGCAAAGCAATCTCCGCCAAACAGCATGGGTTGACCGAACTTTGAGATCCTGTCGCCTCCGAGCTGCGATGTTCAGCAAACTGAAGCTGCAACCAGAGCGAGCAATGGCCGAGGTGTTCTCTTCCTTTTGGCGTCGTTTCAGACCGCAAACTCCTCTGCCGGGCTCCCCGTTTGCACCATGAAACAAAAGATTGCAATTGCTTCACTTCATTTGGCCTTCAAAAGGGATCTGAACCGAGGCAGGAATCTCTCACTATTGTTGGACGCCGCTATGAGATTCGGCACTTTGACAACCACATACAGCTTTCAAAAGGCTAATGTTTGCAAACATTCCCACACCCTCTATTGATCTTGTACTCCCAAAGCTCTCTCTCCCCGCGCGCCTCCCGGGGCAACATCACCGGCAGCTTCCGGAGTGCCGACCAGAGCTCGCCTGAACATTCGCGCCCACTCAGGTGGACATGAGCAGCGGACCCGCTTGACCCGAGCGGACTGAAAAGGTTCCCGGATTCCACCAATGGTCACAACGATTTATATGCGTGTAGATTGTAGTGGGAGGTTCCTTGGTGGAGACAATTTAGATGAGGAGTCCTGTCCGCCATTCATGTTTTGTTTGTTGGTGCCCTATGAAAATTCATCGCCACTAGGGATTACAGCTGCCGAAATGGACCAGGGGAGTAGGCGCTCACATGGAATCCAGCCAATCAAGTTCAGACTTAGCGGTGGGAGAAGTTCAGGGTTGCTCCACAGACGCGCTCGGAAGGGAATGGCTGAAAGGGAACCAAAGATCGCCGCGGCATTGCACGGCCACCAGGGGCGGTTTTTCCTCTGCGAGCCCCTTTACGTTCTCCCCAAAACTTCTGGTCGATGAGAACCACACGAAGTTTCTGGCGGCCTCCGGCGAGGATCTCGGTGAGCATACTCACATAGGTCTTGGTCTCGAAAACGGCCACCATGTACCTGGCGGCGAAAATTCGAGCTCACGCGGCACCCCAACAATGGTGGTCCTCCTGTTGGTTTCCCTCTAAGCCAAGGTAAAAAGGGTTCCCTCAAAAAACGAGGCACACGCCCCTTCCCATGAGCCACACCTCAAGCATTTGAGGTAACCTGTCGGGGCTCCATGGACCGGAGGGGCCGCGAAGGAACCAGATGAAACCAAACGATCCAACCCAAAGGACTTCCCTATGGTCGGGTTCGATGCTCAGATGAGCACAACGCGGGACCGGTGAACATGCTGGGGGGTGTAAATAACCTGGGACCTGGGCTCTCAGCGCTCAGCTGAATGCGCAAGGACAGGCTGGTTAAGTTAAATCAAACGGGCGTGTCCTATTAAAAGGGGTTGGTTGAGTCAAACGGCGTCTGCGTCGAGAGAACTCAGGGATTGGTTCACCCCTCTAGGGGAAGTGCGCTGTGAATTGGTTGCAAGTCCCCTTTGTAAGAAAAGCCCAACCCGATGCTTCGGGACCCCCATGCCCCACAACATAGCAAATCTTTAAACTTTCAATATATATATATATATATGGTGTCATCGGAGCAGACCCCGGGTTTGGGTTTCTCGTCTTGAAAACCTCTTCATAATGACCTGCATGTGCTTGCGGCACTTTGAATTCCTAACTATTCACTAAAACCAACGGGGCAACATACAAACGTCGCCTTAGGTAAATAGAAGTTTACAGAATTTCCAAGTTCACATCACCAAATCCAGATCAAATCAGGACGCTTCCTTTTTGGAGGCGCAGGATGAAGGGATGGTCGTTTTCCGCCAGAATGTCGCACTCCGTCTGCATTTCCTCGACGGAGCCGAAAACGACACGCTGACAAATGGTGACGCTCCTTGGGGATCTGAAAGCTTGAAAGGAGGCATGCGAGGGCTTCACAAAATGGACATGCTTCCCCTTCAAACCGAAGCGACCTAAGAACAGTCACCTTGTTCCGCAGCTGTCCTTGTCCTTGGTTGATGCTGAAAGGAAAACCGAAAGGACACCAGGTGCTGTTTTCGTGGGGTGGTCCGGTTTTGACAAACGACTATGGTCAAACTCTGGGCTCCAACAGACTTTCCCTTTCAAATATCAACTTGGTACTTTTGCACCAGGAAACTGGCCCGATGCGTGAACCCCGAAGTCTGGGGGACCCGCAAACTTCTTGTTGCTCAAGAGCAAAAGCGAAGCTTTGGGCGCCTTGAGGTTCTCTGAGGTCTCTCAGCTCCAACACTCTCATCTCTCAATGACAGGGATCCTTACATTATACACCTGAACATTGCCTTGTAAATGGTAGTTTCCTTTTATTTTGGTGGAAAAAGCCATGTTTCAAACGGGCAAAATGTATCTTTTAAGGAGCCCTGCTCAAGGGTCTGGGGTTAGGTGTCCGAGGGGGCCAATTGGGGAGGGGGGGGGGGGTTCGCATGGGTCCATGGGGTGCAGTGTAAAAACAAACTCTCTCCAGCCCGGTTTCAGGACATTGACAGGGGAGCAAGGGAAGGAACAGGAACCTGACAGCCTGGAGGGTTCCGGTGGAAGGATACATGCCAAAACTGGCCCCACAAGCAGTTCCCAGAACCCCATGGTAGTTGCTTCTACTATATGGAGGCCGTACTATAACCCATATAAAACCAGGTGGTCAACCACCTGCTGAAATGGCCATTGGGCTTGTTGGGCGCTCAAACTTGTATTGTATCCTGCTTTTGGCAAGCTCTTTGTGCTTTTATCGTGAGCGAGCGGCCACCGGCATCTTCCCAGTGGAGGTCCGCTTGCACGTCTTCAGCGCGTACTTCGCACCCGTCTTCCTGCCCGAAAGCGAGGCGCAGGGCTTGGTTGACCCCGTTCTTTCAACACCCAGCCTGTCTTCGGCCCGATAGACCAAAAGTGGTGTTTTGGCTCATAACCAAAAGGCTAAAAAATACAAACAAAACAGGTCGCAATACATAGTTGTGGGATATATGCCAAGATCTGTGATGCCAAAGCAGGACATCCCCTGGGTTCCTGGATGATTTGCTCGAAACAAATATATCTTGCACGCAAACAGAAAACAGGCAACAAGGACTCTGAGACTCCGTCACACCAGCGTGCCTAAAACAAACTCAAACCAAAAGCCCGACCCTGGAGAGCTGGAGCCCATTTTCGAGATGCGGACACCTCAACAAAGGGCGTGGCCGGCCAAAACACTCAAACCCCCTGCCAAAAAACACAGCAAATTTGTGCCTCATTCCGACGCCTGTGTTACCCCTGAAATCGGTGGGATCGCCATAAAATCGCCGGAAAACTGCCGGAACAAAATCACCCCCCCCCCCCTCCCCCCCCCCCCAACCCCCTCGAAAAGACACACACACACACACAACCACCCCCCTGAATTAGACACACACACACACACAACCACCCCCCTGAATTAGACACACACACTCACACACAACCACCACCCCCACCGAAGCAGAAAAAAAACAGAGAACCTCCCCGCCCAAAGACCGCACTGCATTCTCTCCGCACTATTCTCTCCTGTGCTCCACCAGGCGCACGGTGCTAAAGGCGCCGGCGCCCAGGAAGCTCAAGGGCTTCAGGTCCGAGAGCCCCACCTCCGAGCCGAGAGAAGCTGCCCGCTCGCTTTGGTTGGGGGGTTGGGGCGGACGGGTTTCAAAAACTTGGGCAGTGGCAAACGAAAGGCTGGTCCAACTTGATCACTGGGGTAAAAGCGCTGGCAAACTCAAAACTCAAGTTGGTTGCTTTGGGAGGGAACGAGTTGTTTGTGCTTGTGGTTGTTGAGTTCTGGCTGGTCAAAAGCGTGGTTCCCCTCGTGTTCAGGATAAGTGGACACCTATGGACGTAAAGTCATGTCATCTTGGACTTGCGCTTGTTGAAGTTAAAGGGACCCTTTACCCTTCTCCGAAGTTGAGCAGAAAGGCCTCGTGGAAAGCATATTCACGGGGCCACTTGCGGAAAAATGGCGGCCAATCCGACTGTCCACAATCAACATTGGAAATCGACACAACGGGGCCCCTCCTCGAACCCAAAACAAGAATAAAGGCTTGCCATTGAGCAGCCCAGTTGTCAATCGGCAATAGAGATTGTCATTTTGCCAAACTGAAAGGAAAGCCTGCATACAGTATCTTCTTGGAAAAATAGTCCTCATCCGGACCTCCATCCCCCCCCCTCCCCAGAACTGGGGCCCCAACTCCAGCATCTTGGATGCTGATGCGGTACTCCAGATCCTTCTTCATCTTCTCCGTGATGATCTGCCTGAGTCGTTTCCAGACCATGCAGCTTAAGGGTTTGCAGGCAGAAGGTGACAAATTGGTGACTACCGCTACCGTTACAAGGGCTTGACTAATCAGAATGGTGGTGGTGGGGGGCGGGGGCTATAGTTGGTTTAAGAAATGTTTTGGAGATTAGCATGATGATTTGCTCTAAACCAAGCTCGATCGATCCAAGTCCGAGTTGCTGACATGTCGCTTTGGAAGCATCAACCTTTGCAGTTTGATGGAGTGCTGTTTTGGATGTTGGAAAAAGGTGTCCCAAACACGGTGTCCAAAGGGGAGCACAAACAACGTAAAGCAAGGAAGCTATGCAGTGGCCATGTTTTGGTAAAATGGTCTTATGAAGGGTTGAGTAGCTACCATGCCATCCTTGCATGATGACCCATAGAACAGCGGCTCCCGCAGCGAACAGGAAAACCGAAGTCTCTACTGTCTGGAAACAGCAGCTGAACCCCACCAAACTAGTCACAGCGAAATACTAAAAGTAAACATAAAGCAAGGGTTCACCACGTGCTCTTTTGCAGTAGCGTCGCCCCACAGCAGGTGCGTAAACACAATCAGCAGTTTCACCCTCGCTTTCACAAGAGCCCCGAGCCATCTACTTCCACCCAACTGCACCCCCCAAAGTGGTTGGTTCTTCTTGGTCCCGTTGAAGCTTGAAAGCCAAACAAAAGAACAACAGAACCTGGGGAACCCAACAATAGAACCACAAGAAGAACCTAGGCATCGTCTAGCTCCACAAAGAAAGACAGACCCCACAACCAACCCGAGCACAACCCATGTCGTGGCTCCGCTTCCTGACACCCGTGGCCCCTTTTAGAACACAACCATTTGTCGGGGCTGTGGGGTAGTTTAGGCCAAATTACCTCATAAGACAATGTGTGAAACGATTTGGCCCCTAGTCTCTCTTTCATTTTCTTGTAACTGTCTCTTCGTAGCCAGCCCTTCATGGTTTCTCATGCTACCCTTTTGGGAGCGGTTGTTTACGGGCAACCAAAAGGAAACCCAAAATCCATGTTTGAGATTGAGGATGTCAACCCAAAAACAAAACTTTGGCCCCGGACATCAACTATCATTCATCACGTGGCAGTGAGAGAGCGAGAGAGAGAGAGAGAGAGAGAGAGAGAGAGAGCGAGAGAGAGAGAGAGAGATGCAGAAATAGCATCTGATAGTTTTACTCTCAAGTTATGCTTTAACACCTCAAATGACCTCAAAAATCGAATCCTGGCAAAAGGAAGAAAAAAAACGAAACGTTGACCAAGCTTCTAGCCTTCTAGCCTTGTGCGGTTTCATGGCCACTTGAGGTTTGAGGAGCTTGTAATCGAATCGCCCTTTTGGGGCCGTTTTTGTTTGGGACAGCAAGCCCCTTGTATACTGTACTGGTACTTGTAGGCAGTGCTTTCGGTCACCCTGTTTTAGACGCTCCAGCTGTAGATTCCAATTAGGAAATCCCAATTGGCGCAACAAAATAAGCCCCAATAGTAGAAGCTCTCTCTTTGGGCGGCTTCCTTTTCCTTGCTTTTTTTTTGGCACGCATTTTTTTGGGGCGTCTTTCTTTGTTTTGACTTTTGGTGCACGCATTTATATATATATATATACATATATATATATATATATATATATTTGGGGGGGGTTCTTGCCATCTCTCGTTCGGTATCCCAGGCGCTTGAACACCGACTTCTCCAGCGTCCACAGCTCCGCCGCCTCGCTGGAGACCTGCGACGGGTCGAGGGACTTTCGGGCGCGGGTCCGATGCCGCGGAGCTCGTCGCGTCCCTCGTTGCATTTTTTTGGGGGAAAAGGGGTCAATGGGAAAAGGAGTTGGTAAAGGTTGGTTGGTTGGTTGGTTGGTTGGTTAGTTGGTTGGTTGGTTGGTTGGTTGGTTGGATTTGAATGGAGTTGAATGGTTTTTGTTGGGAGGGCTGGTTGATGCACACGGCAGCTTTTGGCGGGAGGGTTGGCTTTCCAATGCCTTTTCGGGAGTTGGTTGGCTTGGAACTGTGGGAGTTCCCTATTTCTTAGGTGACCCCTTCTCGCAACAAATATGTTTCCTTTGTGGTTTTGCCTTGGCTTATTCCCCTAGAAGAAATACATGCCCGGCCGTGGGGGAGTGTGTGTGTGTGGGTGTGCATGTCTTGGTGTTGTTGAGGAGAAACTGTTTCTCAGGCTGTAAGGAATACCAATGAGACTCGGCCATTTCGGGGTCCAGCTACTTTGAGACATGCCACAACTGTGTTGTCGTACCCGGGCGGCAGACAATTTAAATCACACTCAGAGAAAGTCGCGCTATCGACACAGGACCTGGAGCTTCGGAAGCTTCGATCCGAATTCGAAAACATCTGTGAGGTGAGCCACGGACGGAAGCCAAGTGCTCAGTCATTCCAAAGAGAACGAAGTCAAGACTGCGGGCGGACAGCGAGGAACAGCCAGTGTGTTTTCTTCGTTTGGGGATGCTCTGTAAGATGAATCGGCGGCAAAGGGCCATTGAACCGCGTAGACCCCCTGCCAAAATGGCCGGCCATTGAACCGCGCAGACCTCCTGCCAAAATGGCCCCAAGAGTTGTTGGGCTTGGCCCCCATCTGGAATGCACAGAACATCTTATGTTCAGATTATGTTTGCCATCTAGTCTACCCCAATATTGAAAAAAATATAAGTCTTGGAAGAGAACCTCCTTACCTTCAAAGCCTCCTTACCTTCAAGTCGACGCAAGAAACAAAACCTCCAGTTTTTGGGGCCCCCCTTTTTTGAGCCACGCCCATTTGCTACCCATGGCAAATCGCTGCACTGCCGCGAAGTATTCTTGCCGGCGGAGCCTGAACCGTGGCGCTTCGGGGTTCGTCGAAGAGCAGGGCGCGCTCCTCAGAAGGCCGCCGGAATCGGTGGCGCTTGGAGCAAAAGGTCGATCACCTGTAGGTGTCATGACAAAAGCATGTGTTTTTGTTCCTTCCCCCAAGTTCTGCGGGGCCTTTTGGTCACACCAATAACTGGCTATGCAACATTGGGGGTCTCCCCGATTTTGACACACAACTATATACATTTGATCTATATATAGCGCACGATATAGAGGGTGTATATATATATATAACTATACATCTACAACTTTCCCTTGGGGTTGGTGGTTTGCGGGCACTGGAAGCCCTCTTAGAGGGTGGGCATGCCGTGAGGGGTATACCGCCTGGTTTCTGATTGATTGAGAGTCTGTGGCTGGATTTGGGGACAAGTCAAGGTGGGCCAAGGGAAGAAGCCCACGGGCAACAGATTCTGAGACTGACCAAAACAAGAACAGAGGGAAGCCGCGAAGCCTTGCAAAAAAATGAGTCGAAGGTCAAAGCAAACAACACCATGGTGTTTCAACCCCGAAGTCCCGACAAGTTGTCCTTCTGGACCCGAGCCCGACCTCGAATTCGAGCTCGGGCGGGCTCCTTCCCGTCTCAAGATGAGGAGGTCTGGTTTGGTTTCTTACAACAATAGCCTTTTTGATGGGCTGTTGAAGGGTTTGCTTTAGTGGTTGATAGTGGTTGGTAGGACGCCTTTTTGATGGGGTGTTGAGGCAGCCTTTCTTCAGGGTTTCTAGGGGCCCGTTCCCCGAGCGCTCCGAGTTCGGCACCCCGAAGGAGGCGTTCTTGCCCTGGGTGCGGATCTTCTTCCCGTCGATGGTCACCTGGGAGATCGCCCAGGTGTCGGGAAACCCCAGGCTCAAAGACACCCCGGCCCAAGCATTTGGAGAGAAACTCCCCCCCCCAAGGATTTAGAGGAGAAACTGGGTGCAAGGACCCCTATTTGGCTTCCATGCTGGCGGAAAAAGGCCAAAAACGGCCAAAGATGTCCGACAAGTGAATCTGGATGTGTCCGGGCAAAACCCTTGGGGGACGCTTTTGGGAATGGTTTCAAAAGGAAACCTACGAAGCCTACATGAAACCAACAATATGGAAGGTGCCCTTGGTTTCAAAAGGAAACCTACGAAGCCTACATGAAACCAAAAATATGGAAGGGGCCCTATCAACCAAGTGGATGCAACAGGACTCACTGAGAGGAAGCCAACATCCATGTGAGCCGTACAAAGCACCACCTCCTTTGAGCGTGGAAAAGGAAAGCCCAAAAGGCCATCCGTTGAAAGGTGTGCGTTTAAGGGAGACCAAAAGGAATCAATGATCTTGCAGACCCCCCAACTTGCTTTTAACATCGGTTCAACTAACCGCTTGGAGACGTCCGTTGAGCTCCGCTGAAGGGCACATCTCCGCAACAACAGGTCGTTTCCCGAACTGGTGTTCTAACCAGGGGGTGAAGCCTGATCAACTCGGAAACCTTACAGTTGGGTGAAAGTAGGTGTCACTATTCCATCATATTGGTTTAGTCATCCCCTTCACTTAGCCAGGCAAAGGAAACTGTACCATCTACTTTAATCCTGGTGTACCCTGACATTGCAATCTCATTTGTTTGCTTTTACCGGCACATGTCCGCACTCTAGCCCACATGGAGCATGCATGAAGCCATGAAACACATCCGCGCACACCTCGACCAAAATCCCACCCGGCCCCTACGGTCGGGTTAGTGCAGGTTTCCTGAAGGACAGCCAGTGGTTTACACTCCTCTGTAAAACAGCATCCATTTAGGTGCCATGTTCAACTGTGGCCACTTTCGTGCACATCATTTGCATGGGGATTGGCTCAAACAGCCGTCTCCAACAGTGACAACTTCATTGTAGCCTAGATGTTGTTCAAACGGCGCATCCCATCCAACCCGAACTCGGGGAATTCCAGCATGACACATAAGGAATCCATGCAGAATCAGCCGGCTGTTCGGCCGCTTGCTTGCCGCGGGGCTGTGACCTCGCCCTTGACGATCACAAAGAAGTGGTTCCCCTTGTCCCCTGGCGGAAGTGACCAATTGATGCCAAATGCCCGCGGGGTTGGCGGCGAAGCCCCTATTTGGACAACCCAAATGGGCAGCGTTTGATTTGGAAGTTTGGTTTGAAGGGGGAATGTGATGAATGCATCCCAAGCCCTTTCAACCACTTGGGAGTCCTCGGGCATGTCGTTCTATGGTGGGAAGCATCTCCTTGGTTTGTGTTGTGTGGGAAACCCACGCGAATCAACGGCTTTCGGGCTCCTTAACTTTAAATCACCTCACATCCTTTCGCAGGTGAAGGTCAAGCGGGCGGTGTCGGCCGTGATCGGCGAACTGAAAGACTAGGAAAAAAGGCACACAACGCAAAGTACCAAAACGGTGCGGAAAAAGAAAAGAAGAGGAGGGGAGAGAAGGAGGGGAAAGAAAGAGGGGAGACCAGAGAGAGGGGGGAGCGGAAAAGGAAGGAGAGAGGAACAGGGGAGAGGAGGAGGAGACAGAGCAACAAATCAGTCCAAAGGCGAAACAAAAAACAGAAAGACCAACGAGAATTTCAGGCGAGATGCACAAATAAGAGGCTCATGGAATCACGCATTCATGTTTGCCAGTTTGCAACATCATGATGATTCAAACACAGCTTCCGGCTAGGACCACCAGCAAAAATGATTCTTCCCAGCCGGGTTATTGCTCCTGAGATGCAGTCTGGTACGTTATTCTGCGGAGAAACGGGCCTTCTCGGATAGAAGTGCGGCTAAAAAGCAGAGCGGACGGAGATAGGACTCCAAGTTAAGCATGGTGAAAGCCAACAAGACCACGGAAAAGGGCGGTGCATAGAAGACCATTTGAAAGACAAGCAGGAAACAACCTTCACACAGGCCAGTTTGACTTTTTGGTCTGCCCGTTTTGAGCCGCCTTGCTTCCCTTACCCTTCGGGGCGCCTTCGAAGTCAACCTACATGGTGCGTTCCGCTTCATGTGGGGCAGGCATTTTGCACCCACATGGACTTCAACGTGGGGCCGACGTGGCGCTTGCTGAGGGTGTGAAGCCGCAACGCCGCCATGTCGTGCTTCATGCGGATGTCAAGGCGCCTCTCCTGCCCCGACACCAAGCACGTCGTCAAAGGCACCTGGAGGCACGACGCGCTCCTCAAGAGACTCGAGGGTGGTCGTGGCAGGCACGGATACGGAGGCCGACATGTGGGAGACGAGTTGGCGCTGAGCGAGCAATCAAAAGGCGGCTGGAACGGCCAACACTCCAAGGAACAAAAACGTAGAAACCAAAGACCAGCACGACACGGGGCGGACACGACGAAGGGGCTGGAACAGGGACAGAAGAGACGATCACGGAAAGAACCTTGAGAAATTCAACTAGTGATGGCCAAGGATTGCTTAAGGCTGCGCAAGGTATGGACAGTCGTGCTTGAGGCGGGCGTCGATTGTCTGAAAGGAGGCGCGACACTGGGAGCAAGACTTGTTGGCTGCAGCAGGGCCCTGCAAACGCGTCCCAGGGCAAAACGACATGAGCACAGGGCATTTCCAAGTGTGTGGGACGAGGACGCCGCGGCGAGCCGGCATCCATCCGCAGTGTGCTTGAAAATGTTGCGTCCAAAATGGTGCTTGGAAAGACGGCGCAACGGCACGTCCTGGAAGCCACCTGGTCGCCATTCCAGAGCTGTCCTGAAGGTTCCTGAACTCCCGCGCGTGTTGGCCTTTGCGAAAACACCCTGCCACAACGCCTGCAAGCGTCAACCACAAAAAGGTGAGCAGATCGACAACCTCCAACGCTCAAGCAGCTGCCAAGCCTCCTCTTCGTTGCCCAAGCACGACTTCACCTGGTTTCCACGTTGCCTTGCCGCAATCGCTTCTTGTCTGGTGTCTCCTGCGTGTTGCGCTTCTTGTACTCCTTGCTTGCAGCATCCTTGTCTGCAATCCGCTTCCTTCCACGAAGATCACGCCCAGGCTTCCCACCACTCTTCGTCGAATGACTTGCAAAAAACCTTCAAGCGGCGAATCTCTACTTCAGCACGCGAAGAGCACGAGTCCACTCTGTGCCCTGCATGGCCACGGCCCATGCACCGCCCGCTCCTCGTGCTCTTGCCGCGCGGCGTGGCTGTGGACACGCATGCACGCAACTCATGTTTTACCCGCCTCAAAAAACAGCGCGGGTCCTGACCAACACGAGGCGAACTAAAAGCCTAACAAAGCAAAAAAAAACGACTCAGGGAACCCTTAGTTGGTGGTTTGCATTGCTGGTTTCGGAATTTGAACCCCTGGTTCTTGCACAGGGGTAAATGTGCTACCCTGAACCACCAAACCACCAATGCACACCACAAAGTGGTGGGAAGCTGAAGCAACACACACAAAGAAGAAAAACAAAGACAAGTAGACGAGCAAAACAAACAAACAAACAAACAAACAAACAAACAAACAAACAAAGAACAAAACTAGCTTGACAGACAGACTGACAGACAGACAGACAGACAGACAGACAGACAGACAGACAGACAGACAAACAGACAGACAGACAAACAAACAAACAAACAAACAAACAAACAAGCGAACAAGTAAACAAGCGAGCAACGAACACAAACCACCAACGGGACCAAACTTGAACAATTTATCCAAACAACGCAAACAGAACAGAACAGAACAAAATGAAACAGCGAGCAAAAAAGACAACTAGCTATCGGTGCGCTTGCTGCTACTGTTGCTGTTGCTGTTGCTGTTGCTGTTGCTGTTGCTGTTGCTGCTGCTGCTGCTGTTGCTGCTGCTGGTGGTGGTGGTGGTGGTGGTGGCTGCGGCGGTGCGAATACCAAGACCTCATTCAACCACCCCGACTCCAACAGGCTGTTCCCACAAACGGAGAGAGCAAAACAGGGAGCCTAATAGAAGTGGCCCCTTGTCACGTAACGACGCCTTGCCGGATGACCACCTCCGAGTGGACCAACTTCTGGTCTTGCAAGGACCTGAGAACGGACGAGTCCAGTCACGAGAGGTGAGACTGGTGGCCAGAGGTCTGGGATAGAATCGGAGACCTTTCAAAAGGAAAGCCCGTCGGAATAAAAGGAAGCAATGGGTTCCAGGCATGGCGGGTCCTTCTGAAGGCTGTTTTGAAGGCTTGGCATACTTCTAGGAGGGAAGCAATCGCGTTTGGGGTAGGCCATACTACTTGTCCCAGGTCTTGAAGGCACAACCTGAGCACACTGTACTTGGATCCTCTGGGGATAGTACCTGATCATGGGAAGGATGCACCCAACAGCAGGCCACATGTGGAAGAAATAACGAGTGCCTGAGGCACCAGAGACAAAGGAAGAGATTCAAAAGAGACAGCCGCCTGGTTTTGACCAACGAGGCCACAGCTGGATTTTTGTTTTGCTTTCCGTAAGCTCAGCCCTCTCTCATGGAAAGAACTGAATGAGCATTGAGATTTATCAAACCAACCAGTGGAACAGGGCCAGCATGTGCGCAGACTCCATGGGAGAAACCGTACACTCGCATTTGAGACGCGGGCATGACTACTCGCTCCGTCTGCTGCTTGTTGAGGTGCCGGAAGATGGGCACCTGACCGTTCAATCTGCATTCTTTTACATATTTTGTCCCGAAACCGGGGAACCACCAACATCTCGATCAATTCCTGGTGCAGGCCCCTCCTTTTGGCTACCTGCCTCTCCCCTTTTGCGGGGAACCCTGAATGGCCGGAAGGGGTTGCGGGCTGAAAATACCCCGGGCCTTTGGAAGCAGAACCTTTTTGGTGGCTCAAGCTGAATGCACATGGAGGTCTTTGCATCATGGACCCCAAGTGTGGGACTGCAGCGAAAGAGGAGCCCTAAGGCCTCATTCAGAGCTGAATGGGGTGATCCCTGAAAGCCCATGATCAAATACTTCCACTTCCATCCCAAAAGCTTCACTTCCGTCACGCAATCGGCTTGGCGTCAGCGGGCGCCTTCTTCACCGCGAGCATCTTCTGCCCGAAGCGCTCCTTCCGCGAGGTGACGGATGGATCGCTGGAGGGGCTGCCGTCCGCCAGCGCTGCCTCAAGGCCTGCGGGCGCAAAAATGCCTCGGCTTTCTCTCCCTAAATCATACAGGTGGCTGTCCAGTTGGGTGAAAGTAGATGGCATTCCCCCCTGGTGTGTTCTTATTTTCCACCCAACCCCAATGCAGGGCCCCTTAAGCCCCTTGTAAGGGCTGCAAGCCTGGGAAACTGGAGAGAACCATATTACATCGGTATCTGAAATGTTCGCTGAATCCCTGGAACCCGGCGGAAAGTGATCTAGGCCATTACTTGCAGCCAGGCCCGGAGCGCATGTTGCTTGTGCGACACCTCCTGGGAAAAAGAAAAGACAAAAACAGTGAGAAAGCGTGGTTGCGCCGGAAGCTTGAAGGGAAACCCGCCGAAGAAACGAGGAAACAAGGGTGCCCTGCCAAGTGCGCAGGCAACGGTTCTAGTGTCAAATAACGGGGTTGCTTACGTGTCAAAACTAGGAGCCAACAAAAGGTTGGAGCAGAGCGAGAGCATCAGAAGCTGCCAGCCAAGTGGTCTTGTTTCCTTGTTCTCGCTTAGCGACATATCAAATGCTCTGTGCAAAGGATGACCGTTACGCATGGTCATAGAAGGCGCATAAACCCAGAATGATGGAGATAGGCCGGGATGGTGCCTAAGATGCAGGAGGGAAAGCTTACAGGTCAGCATCTTGCACGTGCGCTTTCCGTGACACCAGAGTGAACTATGGGCTACGGTGTCCCTTCCGGTATCACAAAACGCCGGCCCAAAAAGACTTTGGCCCAAACATGGGCCCAGAAATCACACCCTCCCCACCCGCACATTCGGAAGGGCATCTCTGGAACTCGAGACCAAGAAATTCGACCAGGAGTCCGCTGGGCTCCGTATTGACTGGGCAGAAAAGCCGAAACTTGTGGGGCCTGCACTGAAATGATGAAGAACCTATATGCCCAATATATATATATATATATATGTGCGCGCGCAGGAACATCCAGAAGAAACTCATCAAGTAAAAATGCGGGCACGCACATGTGGGAGGGAGCAATCTGGGCATATGTCAACTCAACCGCCAAGACTTGGGGCCATTCGAGGCAAAGGGCTCAGCTCGAAGCATGGACGTGGACAGGGCCCTAATGTGCACGTCCATTGGAAGGGCCCTGCACCCGCCTGACTCCATCAGCACAGCCACCTGAAGCTCCCGCTCGGGGCCACGGACACCCCAGAGATCCAAAAATCGCTGGCAACCTTTGGCCGAATCCTCTGATAGCCACACATTGCCGCAAGGGGTACCCTTCAGAAACAAAGGTGAGCACCCCCTTTAGGTCGGAGTTCCTTTACTCATGATCATCGGAGGCTAAAGGCAATTGGCAAGGAGAAAGCTTTACGAATGAAGCCCCAAGTTGGCAAGGGCATGCTTTTGGTTTCTCGTTTCGCCCTCCAAAAGGGGGTCGCGCTCCAATTTCAGCACACCGAATCAGGCCAAACCGGGTGGAGTTTGTGGGGGGCTGGTGGTTGTTGAGGTCTCAATGCGGAATCACAAGCTCAAAAGGGCTGATTCGCAAAAAAACATGAGAACAAGCCCCACACCTCGTGGATTGGAGCGCAAAGTCAAAACTGGTTACAAGAACGGGGGGAAACATGCAGGCCTCCCTTAAAAGTCCTTTGAACATCACCCAACATGAAACTCGCCCGTGACTAAATTTGTACTTGAAAGGCATTCGGATTCTAATTCCCGTATCACAGAAAGTGACCCTCCACTGATTCACATGGGCTAGAATTGTGATTGGCTTCCTTTGCATCACAAACAGTGCCACTGGGGACCACTGATCCACTAAGGGACCCAGCAAATGGCTGTCTCATTTTTGGGAGGGTACCCCTGTGTTGGAGGGTTTTGAAGGAAAACCACAAGGAAACTCACCATTTTTCGGGCACCCGATTCTGAGACAGACCCAAACAAACCGTAGCCCGCCTTGGCGCCCTCCGGGCCGGCCGCCAGCACCAACTTCTCCCTGGCTCAAATTGGTCGAATTTCCCAGCCCCGGACTTGGCCCCCTCCCTTTGGCCTTTTCGGTGTTTTTGGTCACGGGGAAACAAATCGGTCTCAGCCCCTTGGCTCGTCCACCCCGTTGGCTCAAAGGGAAACCCATGGGAACCAAACATCAGCGCACATCAAGGATGCTGCGGGGACCTGGTGGAATGTGCGGATGCTGGCAACAGGAAACCACGCTTTGCCACCCTAAAACCCACTTCCCAGGGAAAATCGGAGCCGTACAGAGCCTATATGGGTGTGAAAACTCTCCAAATGACAATGTAGGAAATGATTTGGAGATGCCTTGCGCAAGCCTTGGCTCAGGATTATTCTTCCAAGCTCTAGCATTCTAGCAAAAACTGACTCTGAAACAATACCTCCAAGAGGACAAGGTCGTCTGGGTGTATCTTGCACATGGAGAGTCCCTCACCACCGAAACGGGTGTTGCCCAGACAGACGATGTGCAGCCCTCACCAAAGATGAAGGCCCAAGAAAAGCATGACAGTAACAACAATGAAGATGTCCTATGGGTCTGTCTCAGCACTGGGATTTCCCCTGGCGGATCTCAAATCCCTTTTGAAACTTTGAAATGGTGGACACTTAGGGTCTAAGGTTGACCCCGATTATCGACCAGTGCCCCAACAAGAAGGACCCCTTCCTCCCTCCACACACCACCAATCCCAGTCACCAAGTAGAGTTGCCATACAGCTCGCGCTTCAAACAGCCGCACGCGGCATGCGGGAAAAAATTTAACAACGGGCTGATGAATGATTAGGGTGCCCCATTTTAGGGGGCTCTCTACAAGAGCCAGGGGTTCAAATCCTAAACCGATCCAAACAACCAATTGGGGGATACCCTGACTGTCTGTTCTTCTGTACCCATTGTACCCCCCATCCAAAAATGAGCAGAACCAAAAAGCCAAAAAGCCAAATCACGAGACGAATGCTAGGGCCTAGGGTCGGTGGCAGAACCCCACGTTGCCCTATTTTTCCCCAGCCTCACCACCTCGGTGTTCACACGGCACCTCGCATCCCACCCCGGAGGAGCGCGAGTTGCAGGTGGGATTGGTCATTCCTACTGGGGTCCTGTGTGAAGGTTGCAAAAGTGCTCCGCCCTACTTGTCTTACACCACAGCAAGCCTCACGCCAACCGCACGCTGCAAAGCACAAATCTTGCACCATGCTGTCACCTATTACAAGCGCCCCTCAGTACTGGCATTGATGCAGCAGCTCATGCCGCTCATGCTGCCAGGCCATCATCACTGGGGCAACGGCACAACTGCAAGGAATCCAAGGAACTGGGGCTGGAACAATCACGCAATTCAAGGTACAATCGGTATGTCACTCAGCAACCTGCGCCCAGGCGCAACATCTGGGAGCCCATGTGGCTTGGCATTTTATTTCCTAGCGTTAGCAAGTTGTCAGGGCAAAGGATGGAGCATAAAACGAAGGAAGAAAGCGACCACACAACCATCAACCATTCAGAAGAGTTTTACAATAATCTTGGAATAGGGTCTGAAGCTTGCTTAAGTTTACGTGTCTGCCTTCATGTGAAATTCATGTCTACAACTATTTGAATCCTCCTGATCCGATGAGTGACCATGACAACTTGACAACTTTCCGGTTGAGCAGCAGACAGCCCGGGCCGCTTTTCTTCTTTTCCGTGCCTCGCAGCCGCAGCCTCATTGACAACTCATTGATGACAATGAAAGCTTTCTGAAAGACATGCGTGTGTGCTTCCAACTTCCAACCTTGGTTGGCAGCCAGCCAGCCCAACCAGTGCCAACCAGTTCACACACACAAATTGTCACACGCTGCCACTGCCAGGGCTGCCAACGCAGACGCAGACGCAAACCAAAACTCAGACCAGCTTTGGCTCATTACTGCAGCTCTGGCAACTGGCTCAAGAAGACATTGCGGAGCCACAACAACCAAATGTGTGGCCCAGGCTTGTCACAACGAGGCCAACGAGGATTGTTGCTACTTGCCACTGCCACTGCTGCCTGCTGAGCCTGCTGCTGCTGCTGCTGCCATTCGGTCAGCATGAGTGTCAAGAACTCCACACTACCTTCTAAGAACTCATAGTACTCCTGCAAGGCAGCAGGCTCCTGCAACAAAGGGATTGGGCCAGACTGAGGCCCTTCAACAAGCGCCACTGCAGGGAGCTCGTACTGCGGCTCCGGCCTCACATCCCTGGCCCTGGCCTGGCTGGCGCCATCCAGCTGGAAGATTGTTTCGAGCAGGGCTGCCTGCCAGTAGGTCAGCCACCCCCACACAGCTGCAGACTGCAGCCTGCGCTTCAGGAACCCAATGACAGCCACCACCATCGCAAGGCTGTTTCTTGCAAGGCCCTTGTCTGCGTCGCTGTACTCGCCGAACCTCGAGAAGATGATCAATCCCAACTCTGAGGAAGCAATGCCCGCAGGCAGAGCGGCTGCAGCTGCTGCATCCGCCGCGGCTAGATCAGCAGCGTCAGCCTCGCTGTCTGCAGCTGCAGTTTCTTCGCCAACCACTGTCCAGCCCATAGCAGCAGCTTCAGCTTCATCAGCTGCAGCTGAAGCAGCTCGGGCAGGCAGCGGCGGCCTTCCTCTGCTTCCTCCTCCCATCATGGCGCCGGCCCTTGACAAGCTAAGCTCACGCCAAGGCTGCGTGGCTAAGGCCAAGGCTAAGTCTGTCTACAACCAATATGGCAAGCAAGCAGCATCAAGGGCATCAAGTCATCCAAGCAACATTCATTCAACAATCCACATGCAAACTTGCAGGCAGACATTAACGCAGGGGCCGGCCAACTTGCAAAACACAAGCAAACAAGCAAGCACTCAACCTCAACTTCAACTTCAACCAACCCGGCCCCAGCCTAAACCCTAAGCCCGGCATCAGGCATTGCATCAAGCAAAGGCATGTGGCATGCATGCGGCATGCGCTGTGTCAGGCTGTGCCAGTGTCAAACAATGACTTGCAATCTGTGACTGTGACACATCACATGCCAACATGCTTCATCATGGTCATGATCATCATCATGGATCGTCATGTTCTGGACCCCTGGATTCCCTGGATTGAGCATCCAAATGATCATCCAAACAGCAGGCCAACAGAAGCTGCACAATGCCTGCTGTTCGCGACGCCAACTCCACAGGTGCTTCAAGCAACACTGCGCTGGCGTGGCCAAAATTCGGCGCTGCACTGCAGCGCAAGTCTGAGCAAAGCATGCAATGCGCTGGGCTGGCGCTGGCAATCACTGGCAGCCACTGGCAGAAGGTTGCGTTGGGCATCCGGGCATTCAAGAAATTCAAGGGGACTCTCCTCTGGCCCTTCTCTTGGCTGGCTGTGCCTGTGCGTCCTTGTAACCCTCGTCGTTCTTCGCATCAGCACCAGCTTTGGCAGCTGCAACTGGGCTCGCGCTCCTCCTCTTTCGTGACTTCTTCTCACAGCTGCTTTCGGACATGTCGCAGTCAGCAGAGTCAGCAATGTGGTCTGTTGGGCTTCTCTCTCCCTGCGTTGAGCTGCCTGGCCAGACCATGTCCCCGGATTCCGTGATCATGAACCATCTCCATCCCCAATCGCCATTCCGGAGCTGGTGCCAGCACCACCGCCACCACATGAGTCCAAAACAAACAAAAACCAAAAACTGCAGGCGCTTGGCTAAGCAGCGGCTAGCAGGCACCAAGCACATGAGACATGAGGCTGCCCTTTTCAGAACTCTAGAGCCATGAGTCATGAGTGGCGCCATTCCCTTTCAGCCGCAAACGCCTGAACATGACTCCGAAGCTACAGGTTCATAAGCGAGATCAAATCCGAGTTGCCAACACTCTCCGGCCTCCGGCACTATCAGTGACTATCAGCGCTACAGCCGCTACACCTGCCTTCTGCAGAAAATTGCTGGGCTGGAGCGTTGCCAGAAAATCACATCACAATTCACAACCGTCACAACTGACAACCGTCACAACCATCCAAGCATCAAGCAGCTAAAAGACGACACTAAAGCGCTAAGTCTACTACGGTCTGGTGACCAGAATCGCCTGTCACTGGCTGGGCCTGCTGAGCTCTGCCATCTTGTTGGGCGGGCTCGCTGTCATGTTGTTACTGCCCTCGCTGATGAAGGAAAAGCTTGAAGCTGACACTGCACAACGCCCGCCCCCCAACTGCTTCTTCATCTGTTGCTTGACATTGCTCAGAAGGTAGCAGAGCATGGCTCCAACCTGCGGCAAATACATAGCATTTCCAGCCAACTTTTTGAGGTTGGCTGCAGACAAGTCTGCCAGAGCTCCCTGGATGGGTGTCGGGAAGCCTGGCAAACCCTCAAAAACAGGCAGCCCCATGACCAGCAAGTGCTCCAAAGGAACCAGGCAGCGCCCCTTGCCAGTGTTGTGGATGCAGCCATGCGTCACCAATGTGGGAATGTATGATCCTCACACATGCTCTCAAAACTAGATTTTAAAATTTCGAAAGGAACAATATTGTTCTACAGTTCTCGAATCTGTCAGCCCCAAGCTGAAAGCTGAAAGTAACCAAGCACCAAGCGCAACTCAGCACATACTGTATCATACTGCCATTGGCAATTGCAAACAAAGCGCGCGCCTGCTGCAGGTCCGAAGCCAGGGTTCTGATCCAGATCACAAATGAGTGTTTCTTTGGCGAACCTCGTCATCGCCTTCTTCAACCGCAGCTGCGCGCCAGCAGGGTAGAAGCGAGTCCATGATGTGGAAATCGAAGTCACTGGAACCTGGGCCACCTTGCGGTTATGAGCCAGCCTGTTCAGCTCTGCCTGCAGAATGTGTTCTGGGGCTGCGTAGTACACATTGCCATCCAGGACGCACTTTCGCATGTGCTCAGCCTTGAACTCCTCAATGCTGCCCACAAACTCGTAGTCCTTCCGGATGCCTTGGAGCGACTGCATTCAATGTTGAAAGTTGAAAACACACAAGGTGACAACACTGCACTTCACACCGCGACAAAGGTCATGACTCGTGGAACTGTGAAACACAACAGCTGCAACAGCCTGGCCAAGTCAAACTGTCAAACTTCAAACTACAAAGGCAAACTGCAATCACAAAGCAACAGGTTTTGATGAAGCCAGGAAACCCCAAGTGTATCTGCGGCCTGGCCTGCGAATGGGATGGCCAAAGTCAGATGGTTCAAAGAGAGCTTCCTTCAAGTCATACAGATCATCGAGCCACCACTGAAGCAAATCAAAGGGGAAGGTCTTTGTGCACTCATGCACGAGAAGCACAGGACGAGCCTTCCTGACATGGCAGGCCCAAATCAGGAAGGCCAAGTGGCTGTCGTGATCTGTGCCGGCTCTTGCACCCTGCGGGCTCCACGCCACACAACTGGATCCAGCGACTTCTATCGTGATGGGGTCCGGAAAGGGGCAGCTGGCGCCTGCCTGGAAATCGCTTGCCCTGCGCGCGCTTGGCCAAAGTTAAAGCCTAGCTCTGACCTCTCTCTCCAAGTCTCCAAAAACAAAATGGAAAAACCGCAAAAACTCTCTTACTCTTGCAAATTGCAACACAGCGCCCGCCTACAACGGGCACTGTGGGCATAGCAATGCCCTGTGTCAATTGCCTCGTTGCAGTTCTTCATCAGCCAATTGCTCAACTGACCCAAGCCTTCTTCAACTCGGCCTTGCTCCTGGAACTTGCGAAACTTGTGGAATTCCGCCAAGGCTGACTCTGACAGCAGGTCATGCAAGTCGCCAAAAATGTGGCCCTTGCCAGCCCACCTCTCCGAGCTCCAGCCTCTGGCCACTTCAAGCGGGCCACTGCCGTTGTCGCAGGACCAAGCACAATGAAGCTTGGGGCCAAGCGGCTGCTTGCCGAACCAGGGCAGCAATTGGTTGGCTGCTGCCAGCAACTGGTCCAAGGCAATTTCAGGAGTCTTCATGCCAGAGTAGCTGGTTCCAATGCAAATGCCGCGAGACATGTTGGCCAGGAAGAGGTCTGATTCATGCGGCTTCTTCAGCACAATGTCCACGGCTCGCTCTGCCCAATTCAGAATGTCATGCAAGCTCTCTGGCCCATCCTCA